TTGTCCTAGCAGTGCAAGCCTTCCAAAAGCTTAACAACATTTGGAAGTCGTCACTGTTGTAGACCAGGACTAAACTGAAGATGTATAGGTCGAATGTGCGCTCAGTCCTGCTGTATGCCGTAGGGACTTGGAGGACTAACAAGAAGATTGAGAGCAGACTCAGAGGCTTTGAAGGATGGTGCCTTCGTCGTATCCTCAGAGTCCGCTGGGAACAGCATGTTACCAACAAGGAGATAAGCCAATGCGCTGGCATCAACAATGTTGTGGACGAGATCAAGCAGAGACACTGGAGATGACTGGGGCATGTCCTTTGGATGAGCGAAACAAGACTCCCTCGTATGGCACTCAGATGGACTCCATCTGGAAAGCGTAAAAGAGGGAGGCCGTTGGGCACCTGGAGGAGGACTGTGGAGGAGGACATGAAAAGGAAGGGCACGATCTGGGAAGAAGTCAGCCGGCTTTCTCAGGACTGTGAAGGCTGGAGAAGATTCGTTGGTGCCTTATGCTCAATCAGGAGCAAAGAGGACTAATAATAAATAATAGCACAATAATTTTGCCAAATTATATTCTCCGGGTGCAGGGCCAGCAGGCAGTGCACTCTGGCCCTACTCCCGAGGAGCCCTCTACCACTCTGTGCTGCTGCCTCTGTATTGGAGGAAGCAGTGCAGTGTGCCAGACAGGAGCTGGTCTGCAAGACAAGACAGTTTAAAAAACAGCTCCCCTCGCGGACCAGCTGCCTGTCGCCGCCCTGTGCTGCTACCTCTGATAAAGACGGCAGCAGTCTCTGTTGGAGGCGGGGAGAGGTGGGAAGGGAAATGCACGTAATCTATAGCATTAACCTATAAGCTTTTGCTAATCAGTTAATCGACTACACTATTACATCTCTATACTGAATCTCTGTTGACATCTTAACAAATAAAATTTGAGCTGTTAAGAAGAGATCTTAAGGCCAGATCGTGTAATTGGGTCCTTGCAGGCCGAACCTTGCATTTGCACAGAGTCCAGATGAAGGTAATAGACTCCACACAGGCACAAGGATTTTCCCATATGCCACAAGTTGCAGTGTCAATGTCCTTTCCATTACAGAACAGTTATTTTTTAAAAAGGATAATTTATGATTGACGGAATCATCTATTCACTATGCAGCTGTTCAGCTATTGTTCTGCTGCATAATTCTTGTCATTATCCAAAATGAATTTTTGGTGGGTTTGGTCACAGAGATACCTTGCGACTGTCGTTTGAAGTGCTGAAATACCACAGAGCCACCTTCCCTGCAACTCTGAGCCAGGCCCTCAGGTTTCCTTGAGCAGACACAGAGCTAGGAACACAGCCCTTTTGCCATATAATACAGACACTGAGATCAGCTCTGCTCTGGGAATACTCATCCAAAGGGACTTTCCTCACCCCCCAAAAGCACAGCCACAATGGGCACTGAATCCCATATAAGTCGGTCTTACTCTGCATAAAGTTTTATGCAGGGTAAGCTCATGTTGTTCACCGTCTTTCTCAGGGTAAAGAGAACAGAGATATTAGATATTGGGTAATAGAATAGTCAACCAACTGCATGAATTCTTAGCAGTTACTTTACTATAGTCCCCGAGGATGGGGCAGCAGCCAGTGCAGTCTGGCCCCAGTCCTTGGGAGCCCCTTGCCAGCCTCGCACTGCTGCTTCTAAACAGAGGCAGTAGCGCAGCATGGCAGCATCCCCTGTATGTGGGGGATCCGAGCTCCCTGCAGACAGAGGCTGCTGGGGGTGGGGAGCAGGGGAGGCTGAAAGCCTGGGCCCACAGCAGACAGAGACTGCTTTGCGACAGCCTTCTCCACCCCTCTTTCCCCGCCCACACTCCTACCTCTGATAGCACGGGGGAAAGTGGGAAAGTGGCACTGCAGAGCTGGTGCTGTGGGGAGCTGGCTTTTAAGCCAGCTTCCTTCAGTACCGGCTCCTACTTGCTTTCCCTCCCCTCCTCTTCTGCCTCTGTAAGAGGCATTAAGGGAGAGCAGGTGGGTCTGCGTAGCTAGCATGTATGGGGAGCCAACTTAAAAGCTTGGCTCTCTGCCTGTATTGGCTCCTGCCTGCCTCCCTCACTCTAAATGCTCTCAACTCTCTATCAGAGGCAGCAGTGCATTAGGGTGGGTACCATCAGCTCCTGCCCCCCCTTTTTTCATCTGATATAGAGACACCCGGGGAAATGCGTTAGTTGATAGGATTAATCGATAAACCCAGGCTTATCGGTTAACTGTGTAGTCTTCTACATGTTGACATCACTATTGGCTTCAGGAGCTCAAATATCAATTTCCCTTCTCCAAATTGAGTATGAATGGAATTTCCTGCTATGATTGGTTTTGATATAGACCTGGGCAAATCATTCAGGGGGGAAAATAACTTGACATGTTAGAGCAATAAAAAACAAACCCAGAAGTAACTAGGTTAGCATCATGATGTTTGCATTGTTTTGCTCAGTTATGAACACATTGCATCCTAATGGCTCTGAAAGATTGACTCATACTTTTGTATTACTGAGATTGTTTTCTTAACAGATGAGATCAAGCAGGAAGGAACAGAAGAGGAACATAGAATGTAGTGCCTAGAGATAGTATATGCATTTCAGAGGGTGAGCTACTATCTGTTTCCTAGTGCAAGCATTTTTTTAGGTAGGAAAAGCACTTTAAATTAAATCCTCTGTGGGGGGAGGGGTTTAAATTTCAGGTGAAAAATTCAAATGATGGGTTCTTTGGTGAACCTGAATAGTTGTTTCAGAAGTATGTAAGACCTGATCACAATGCCATCCCACTATAACAACATCCCAGAGGGGTTGCTCTCTGGGAAACCAGCACTGGTATGTAGCAAGTAGGAGAGAGCGAGCGCTTTCTTCTGCCTCTTGCCTTCTTTAGAGAGACAAGAGGGGTGATATAATGTCTTTTATTGGACTAACTTCTGTTGATGAGAGAGACAAGATTTTGAGCTCTAGTATTTTTCATCTTCTCTAATATCCTGAGACTGACACAGTTATTACTATGTTCTTACTTCCCTTATTATGTCTGATGTCCACCTTATTAGGAAGCATCTAGTGCATCCTATTTACCCATGTAGCTCTTTATATCTTATGTTATCTTATCCAGTGTGTGCGTGTGTGACAGAGTGAGAGAGAGCAGGTTGAGAACCACTGCTCTAGTGAGTATAAATACTGTGCCTGCAAGGGATGGCTGAAACTGGTTTTCCAGTTAACTTGACACGTTTTTGAAGGCTGATGGGCAGTGCTGATGAGCAGCATCCTGAACCACTTGCTCTTTGGGTATGTCGACACAGCAACTGGCAAGGTGTTTCCTAGCAAGCGCAGATGGGTAGCAATGTGGTTGGGTAGCTCAAACTAGCCACACAAGCTCAAGCTTTTCTGGGTTAAGTACTTGGACAGCTAGCCCAAGCTGCTGCCAGTGCCACCATGGCCACATTACAGTTTCTATCACGCGAGCTTAAGCAGAGCTAGTGTGTATGTGTACCCATTCTACAAAGCACCCTCCTAGCTGCCTGTAGCTGTTACCTCAAAGACAAAACTGCAGCATCTTTGCTCCAATCGGTATAATATGGGAAGCAA